GCATGGTTGTAAGCCATGCAGAGTCCGCAGAACACTCCGGAAGCAGTGTCCGGAGGATGCATCAGACTAGGCCGAGCATGCTTTGAACTGCCATCAAATTATAACTTAAGAAAGTTTTATTACATGGCAGTTGAGAAGTGCATGTACATAAATTTCATTAATTTAATGAAGGAAATTTTTGCACATGCAGCAGTACATAGCATGTATTTAGGCGCCTGGTGTTAGCAGACGCGCCTAAACAGTAACATATATGCCCAAAAACTTGAAAAATATTAGATGATTGCTTTTTAAAAATGCTATTTATAAAATTTGGTTTTGATTGCGACATTAGAAATATTCAGATTATAAAAGTTTTTCACATATGTTTTAAGATTTTAAAGCTTTTAAAATGTACGGTAGAATGCAACAATGTGCTTGAATTTGTTTGCTTCTTCGTCAGCTTATTCGTTTGCAGACTAGAAAAATGGCGGACAGCCATCAAAATACTGATTCAAAATACACACAAATGGGTGCGCGCAGCAAAATTCAGCCCGAATGGTAAGCTCATTTCATCGTGCGGCGACAAGTTAAGAATTTGCGATACATTTTCAGGCGAATGTATGCGAACGTTCACCGGGGGAAGAGCATGGCATCCAGACGGCAATCTGGTGGCTTTAGCATTAAGTTGTAACCGCGTTAAGATATTTGACAAAGCTGAAGGCGAGCTAATACAGTGCATTCGTCGCCGGAGAATGATGTTGCATTTCACCCAAGTGGAAATTTCTTGGTGACTGGCGGCGATGACGATACAATAAGATTGCTTGATTTATTAGAAGGTCGGCCAATTTATACTCGGTAGTAGTGCACTTGAGCGGAACCATATAATATAAATTTTTTCCTGTATTCAACAGTTGCTCGTTTGGAAATCTAATTTGCATACATTTGATACCAATAGCTCGCAACAAACAAGCCAGTTCTCAAAGAGCCCAAATTGATTTTAGTCATGCAACAGCTCCACATAACTCCGCCATAGACACACCAGTTGCTGGAGTACCAAAAAGCTGTGATGACAGTATTTTAATTGATCCACGACAATCGGTGGCATATGGAATCCGTGATGGAAATTTTCTGGTGCTTGATAGCCAATATACTACAAGAGTGAAACGCTGTGATAGTATTCTTTCTTAAATTTCCATCTTTTATTTGCAGTTACATTAAGAAGCTCATAGAGGACAGAGCGGTTGGTGAGGAAGGTGTCGAGTTACTGCAGTACTGCAACTGGGAAAATCCGCATTTCGCACGTGCCCCACTCATATGGAATAGTAGCTTATGTCAAAAGGCTGGTTTTAGTATAATGCGGCATTAGCAGCATACCCTCACTGGCGCCGAGCCGTTGAAGAAATTTTGGATAAATAAACGTGCAAGAAATAGTTCCGATACTAGCACGTCCATATTCTTGTTAAGGGTAATCAAAAAATTCCTTGTGTTGTAAATAATAAAGGGAATGCCGGATTATACTAAAGCCAGCTTCCCGACATAAACTACTATTCCATACGAACACAGAAATATAAATGTATCTAAAACTGAATAACTCAAATTGGATTGCATGTGCATAATATACCTAATATTGGAATCTGTTTTGATCGTAAAAAATACAACTTGCAATCATTTAGATTATAGTTTTGAAAGAAATTGATTGCAATCGTAAATTATGTAAAAATTGTCAATTTTCAGATATGTACATATATTTTAAATTTTTGCTTTAATTTTTGTCTCCTTTTAATATTTAATTAGATACCTTAAGATTAAAATAAGCTTAAAACGAAACAGCACAGCAACCCTTTTCTGTTCATCTTGAGAACACAAAACCCTCTTTTGTTAAAATTCGGCGCTGCACAAAATCCTGGCTTTTATATTTTCCAACAAAATACCACTTCGCAACCCTGGATTTTCACGAAGCGTTTCATTCGGGTCGTAGTTTGGCTACTTCGGGCCATTCGGTGTTGTATGCCATATTGGCTGCCATATTGTTCACACTGTCATCGCCATATTGAACACCCTGTCAACTATCTGTCAACCCTAAGATATCTCACTTTTATTCTTCCACAATGGAAAAAATGTCATGATTCTTAAGGCTTCTTGGTGGGATATTAAATGTAATGCGTTCGAGTAAGAACGGCGCGTCAATCGCACCCCGTATAATGTCAAAAACGAAAGTAAGAGAAAGAATAATCCTCCTATTGTACAGTGATTTAAGGTTTATGAGCATGCATCTAGCAGTGTAAGATGGGAAAGGGTCAGCGAAATGTAGAGAGCGTAGAGCATAACGAATAAAAGATTTTTGGATACGTTCAATTCTGTTGATATGACAATCATAATATGGTCGCCAGATGATGACAGCGTACTCGAGCTTAGAACGAACAAGAGTAGTGTATAATAGTTTTATGGTATAAGGATCAGTGAAGTCCGAGATAAATCGACGGATGAATGCGAGCATTGAATAGGACTTAGCAATGGTATAATTTAAGTGGCTGTGAAAGAGAAATCTAGCATCAAAAATTACCCCTAAGTCAGAAACTTCACCAATGGTGGCAAGCTGTGAATCACCAATGAGATAAGAGGTCTGGGTAATGGAACGCGATTTGGAGTAGGAGACATGGAAGCACTTTTTTATATTTAAATTTAATCTATTTTTGGAGCACCAAACAACCACGTTATTAAGATCGGCCTGTAGATTGATAGAGTCTGAAGTGTTAGAAATCGTAGAATAGATTTTCAAGTCATCCGCATACAATAAAAATTTAGAAAAGTTGAAGCAATTCGAAATATCATTGATGAAGATCACAAAAAGTAGGGGACCCAAGATGCTCCCCTGAGGAACACCAGAGGAGGCGTCGAAGGGATAGGAGAACACATTGTCAACTACAACAACACAAATCTGCGAAGAAAGATATGATTCTACTCAAGATAAAAAAGCTGAATGAAAGCCTATGCTAGCCAATTTTGAAATTAATATTGAGTGACTGACTTTGTCAAACGCCTTAGAAAAGTCCGTATAAACGGTATCGACTTGCAGACGGTTATTAAAGGCAGTTAGACAGGATTCGGTAAAAACAGCAAGGTTAGTAACAGTGGACCTTCCAGGCATAAATCCATGCTGATTAACAGATATTAAAGGACTGACAGCAAAAAATACTTTTTGTTTGACAATAAACTCAAATAATTTGGATATCGTTGATAATTTGGCTATTGGCCGATAGTTGCTTATATCGTTTTTGTTGCCAGGTTTGAATACAGGGGTGATAAGAGTGGTCTTCCAAGCATCTATAAACTCCCCTTGTTCAAGCGATTTATTGAAAATTAAAAAAAGTGGATAGGCAAAAGCGGAACAATTCTTCAACAGGAATGACGATATTCCATCAACATCAGAATGAGTAGAAGATTTGATATACCGGATACCCTCCTCAACATCGTCAATTGATATAGCAAGCGAACCAAAGTTGATAGGAGAATGGGCACTCTGAGGATAACCTCCACAAGGAACCGAATCTATGACAAAGTTAGAGCGAAAGAAGTCCGCGAAGAGATTGGCAGCTTCAGAGGGAGTAGAAGCATGTATTTCATCATAAAACATATCACTGGGAATGCTGGAACACGATTTCTTAGACTGGACATACCTCCAAAAAGCCTTCGGATTCAATTTTATCTCCGACTCAAATTTACGAACATAATTCCGCTTAAGAACCTTACTCATCGACTTAAACTCTCTGGAGTATCGCAAGTATTTGTCCTTGTGAGATTGAGCATTTGAATGTTTAAATTTCTTAAAAAACTTGTTTTTCAAATTCTTCAATTTTTTAAGATCTTTGGTATACCAGGGAACCTTATAGCTTTTTTTATGCACTGTTGGTATATTATCCACACATATGACATTAATTTCTTGCTTAAAAGTATCGAAGCAATCCGAAGCACCAACACCCGCGAATAACGAATCCCAGGCTACTGATGAAACCGCATCATTTACAAGATTAAAGTTGCATTTTCTATAGCAGAAGCTAGTAGGACTACTATCTGATAAAACAGTTCTGAACTCATAAAACTCTAAATGAAGAATAAGCGGAACATGATGTAGGCCGGGAGTCGATAGTGGGTCAAGGCACTCATTAAGTGTGAAATTCAAATCATTACTAATAAAGATAAGGTCTAAGATTCTAGATAGCTTATTAGAAAAATTATTAATTTGTAATAGGTTAATACTTAAAAAATTATCAATAACATAACATTCACAGCCGCTGTTAACATTCGAAGGATATAAGACTCGGCCAATATCCAAACTAGACCAGTTAATGTCACACAGGTTAAAATCCCCAACAATACAAAGATTTTCATTATTAGAAGCTAAGGCAAGAATGTTATCCACATGCGCTTTATATAAAGTTTCAGCACTAGACGGCGGAACATAGGAAGCACATACGAAAAGTTTAGACAAGCCATTGACAGAAACGCAGAGCTGATCCAGCAGGGTATCCTCATTCGCCAAAGGGACGAGCGCCGATCGATAGTTTCGCCGAACTGCAATGAGCACTCCACCACCTCTAGAGAGCCCCGTTTTGATATAGTCACGGTCTTTGCGAAAAACGTTATACAAATTGGCATCAAAAAACACAGAATCGAAGAAATTTGTGTTAAGCCAGGTCTCAACCAGTATGTAAATATCATAATCTGAGTGAGAACTCATTTCAAAAAGTGCCTTGGACTTTGTTCGGAGGCCGGAAACATTCTGATAATAAATTTTTAATTGCTTGGAAGGAGCATTTCCTGATACAGGGTTAGTTATGCCTCTTTCTGAGGAGCACCGTCTCGTTGAAAAAAACGAAACGGACGAATCAACACACTCGTGGGCCAAATGTCCGCCTTAAGCAGCTTCTCATAGCCACAATCCAAAATCCCCAATTTGAAGTTAACTCTTCTGAGCTTACTAAGATCCGAATCTTTCTTTATTAGCGGGTAGCAAACCATCCACTTTACATCAATTTTAGCAGCCTTAGAAGCATACGACAGAATATCAGCAGCAGTTACACTAGGCGAGAATGAAGATATATGCAGCCATTTGAAGTCTGAAATAACACTTAGCTCATTGGTGCTGCATGAGCCAATAAGCAAAGGTTTTGCAGTATTGCGTTTACGATTTGGTACAATTTTCCAACCGGGTGTTTGCAATGTATTAGTATTAGTAGCCGTCGCAGCAGCACTCGAAGTAGGCGTCGTAGCTTGCATTACCACTGGGACAGGCGAAGAAGAAGGAATAGAGCCACTAGAAGAAGCAATCCCGCCAAAATCAACTTTGCGAGCGGGAGAGATGACGTTGACACTCAGAGCGGATGTGCGCTCAGACAAGACGCTTTCAGAGCCAAACGAGTGAGGGGCAGCGGGAGCCACAGCAGCACCAGTCGATGCACATAAATTATTGTTGTTGTACGAAGCACTAGCACCACACTCAGCAGCCGGCAACCCCACATTACATTTGTCAGCAGGTAAAGACGAGATATCAGCAATAATAACATTATTGCTGTTTTTGGCTTTGTTTTGCTTTCTACCCGCACTAGCATTAGTCGGGACACCGACCGACGGCATACATGTAACAGGCAGCGAAATGCAGCCATTAGCAGGAGTAGGCAGATTGGAATATGGGGATGCAGAGGGCGATAAACCAGCAGCCGCTTGAGCCCAACTTAGGCGAGCGATATTAGCGTGAGCAGCAGAGACAGCCGAAGCACTAGCATTAATCTGATCATCAACTCGACCGGGGGAAGGTGAAGCAGAGGCAGCAACAGCAGTGGCGTCAGACAACAACGAACGAAGTTCAGCCACTTGAGAAGCGACAGCATTATGCGATTCGCCGACAGAGTGAATTTTTAGCTCAGCACCAACAAATTTCTTCAAATCATCAAACTGATTTTTTAGGTTATTTGCATTGGAGTTGTTGATTTCCGAATGCAAAGAAATTATTAATTCTATCTTTGTTAATGTTAGTTGCGTGTTTCGTGTATTATAAGTGTCTTGATGTGGCGTTTTATGTCAAGCTTCTCGATTTTTGGGGTTCGTATTATTGGTGCATTGCAAGCAAATTTGCAGCTTTATCGGCGTAGGTGTTACCATCAATTTCTGCGTGTCCTGGGACCCATATGAGCTTAAGGGTTTTCTTGTTATTTATTAATAAGTTCCTTATTTGATTAAGGGCCGGTTGTTCAATGTCTGATTAGCACAAATCGGAGGTAGAAGCTCCGGTTAAGCACAACTACTGCTTTATCGATCACATGTTACATGCATGATGTCGAAATCGTCGATAGTGTAGTGGTAGTGATAACCAGACATTGAACAACCGGCCCTAACTGTTTCCCAATTGTTACAGGTTGGATTTCTAACTGCTTGTAGCACCGATAGACTGTCTGACGGTTTTTGTTTTTTTGTGAAGGGAAAAAACTATAGCTTCGTGTATAGAGAAGACTGAAAAAAGTAAGGTTAGTAACAGGTGACCTGCCACTTACAAAGCCGTGCTGATAAGGGCTGATCAACCTTTTAACTGCAAAATTAAGCCTCTGTTTCACAACCGACTCAAAAACTTTTGAAACAGTAGCCAATTTTGATATAGGTCTATAGTTCGAAACATCATTCTTATTGCCACTTTTATAAATTGGCGTAATATAAGCTTTTTTCCAGTCATCAATAAAATGCCCAGCCGAAAGAGATTTATTGAATAAGATTGTTAGTGGCTGGACAGGAGAAGGGCACCGTTTGAGCATAGCACATGAAAGGCCATCCGAATCCAATTTAAATGAGTGCTTTAATGAAAATATGGCTTCTTGCACGTCACTATCAGAAACATGTAGAGCCCCAAAATTAAGGGCAGAATCTGAAAAAGGGTAAATTTCAAAAACAATATCAGTGTCAGAGCCATAATTAGAGGAAAAAAATTCTGCAAAGAGATTGGCTACCTCGACGGGAGTATTAGCCTGCTTATCATTAAAGAAGACTGAAGATGGCATACTTGATTTGGTATTCCTATACTATGTTCAAACCAAAGTTGATCTTGTAATTAACATACTTATCGTAATTATCTCGCCAATCCACTTGAGATAGCAAGATTTCGCCATACAAAAATATGACTTGAAAATCTCGTCACCAACCCTGCCAGCCACGGCTCACCACTTTCCCCTGAAAATCAAACGATTTACAAACACATTCACAACTTTTTAGTCATCTCACCCACACACTTACAAATTTTTTGTTCGAACTGTCAAAAATATGTCCCTTTGTTAGAGCTACATACCCGATAAGAATTCGTACTCTAATAAGAATGCTATGCGTTAGAGCAAGCAAGTTAGAAACATCGTCGTTTTGATGACAGTATACATACTGTGAAAAATGTCACTTTGCGAAAATTTTTATAGGTAAGAATACGTATTTAACAATTTTATTTAATTATAATGTAATTTCTTCTTTTAGATTGCAAAACAGCAGCGACTTAGTCACATTCTTAAGGTATGTATTGAGACTTTTTATATGTTTATAAATTTGAATTGATATTTTTGTTTGTTAACAGATTGGGATTCACCATCAGCACCTTCAACGCTTGCATCTCCATCGCCAGGAGCACCATTAGAACCTTCTGCCCTCAGCTTCTTCATCGCCAGGAGCACCACCAGTACCTTCTACCCTCAGCTCCTTCATCGCCAGGAGCACCATGGGTACCTTCCGCCCTCAGCACATTCAACTACAGGAGAACCTTCAAAGTGTAGGTCCAACTTGTCAAATTTTGCAAAGTTGTAAGAAAACTTAATTNAACTAAATTTTTGTGCACCATTACAAATGATTTGCAACTGTTAATATATATTAATAGAAAGGTAAATCGATTACCTTTCTTTTGATTATAATACTGTTAAAATCGCTTAACTATTTTATAGAAAATTTGCAACTTTTGAAAACATATATATGCAAAGGAGTAGTAGTAATAATAAGCAATTAAGCAACCACATATGTATGTAAAAATATCTTTATTAATAATGTTAATTGTAATTTTTATTCATAATATTGATTACTAACTATGTATATTAGGTTAACAATGCATTCTGAAAAATAAATTTTGCAAAATAAAAATCAAAAAAAAATTTAAGATTTTTTATTTATTGTTTTTAAGGTTATTTTGAATTCGCTGTGAATAGAATGCAACCCTGCGCCAGCTGAAGTGGGCAATGCTAGACGAGTGCAGCTATATGTTTTCCTTACGAAGTATCTGAAGGAGTGCGACAGTGATGCAAGGATCACACATACAGGGGGAAAGTGGTGACAATCTGCACACCGCCCATACAAATGTCACCAGTTTTGAAGTGACTGAAACCCGCGGTTTCACCAGATTTTTCACCACTTTTGACTGGCAGGGAAGTGGATCAGGATTTAATCCTCATGAAATCTCGCTGTGCAACCCTGATTTAGCGCCTTCTGTTTGTGAAAACAAATTCATCACAGCTTATGTTGACAATTATTAACTGTCAAATTGTAGTTCAAAATTAAAATAAAGTAAACGAAAGTTACTGGCGAAAATTTAATTGCGGATGGAGTCTAAACCAAAAAAAAGGTACTTTGGAATGAGGCGGCGGAGGCTGCTCTGATTGAGTTGTGGCGCGAGAGAACGCCAGAGCTGCGGTCAGCTCGAAAAATGGCCATATGGAGATGGCCAGCGATCTGGGAAACATTGGCTTCGTATACACTGGAGCGGAAGTGAGAGTTAAGTTACAAAACTTCTGCAACAAATACAGGTACATAAGTAGCTACTAAATTAACTTTTATTTTCTTTCATTTATTTGTTAAATACTTATAGGAAAGAAAGGACAAAAGTTGGTCCGTCGGGTGGCTCTCCATCTACGTGGAAGCTGTATAATGCCGTCCATGAAGCCCTTGGATGCCACAAGAGTTACTGCGCTGACGAGTTGACGGAGGATAGTATTATGGGTACGTAATAATCGATTCTATTTATTTTCGATATCATTTTTTATTGTTTTATATGTATATAATATTTTAGTTGATTTTGACTGCAGCGAAGCCGAGTTTTACGACTGTATCGAAATCGAGACGGATGGAGAGTCACCAACATGTCCACCGCTCATCAAATGTAGACTCCAATAGGCTTTCCTCGAGCGAACCTGCAAAAAACAAGAAGAAGACGGCAGTGTAAGTGATGGAGGATACGCGCACCAACTTCTTAACGGCAACACAAGAAATGAAGCAAGCAGATGATAAACGGCTTGCCATTTTGCAACAGTATGCGGATAATGTGAGCGAAATGAAAGACGCGTTCGTAGAAGAAATTCGCCAAAATAATAATTAAATTAATTAACTTTGCAGAACTTAAAAATTATCCGACGTGTAACATTTTTACATACAGCCAGAGTCAAAAGATGGTATGTACTTTGTTCTAATATAATACTTATTAACAATTATTCTCGTGAACGATTTTTTTCCTTAATTTTGTATGAAAACATATCAATTGCTGAGTGGAAGATCGCCCTATCTCGGCAGCCAGTTCGAAAACGCCCTATCTCAAAAAACTTTTCAAGAACGCCCTATTTCAGAATTTTATTGAAAAACACTCTATCTCAGAATTTGATTGAAGAACGCCCTATTTCAGAATTTGATTCAAAAATGCCCTATCTAACTTCAAAATAAATTGAAAATGTGCTGATATACGGTTTTTGAATCGGCAGCTGAGGTAGGGCGTAAAATTCACAAATTTCCAAAAATGTTCATCAAATTTTCAAACTTTTTATAGAAGCTGAAGAGAATTTGCGGGCATGCAGTTTTCAATTCAATTTCAGTACAGCAAAGTGAAAGTTGCGCATTTTCTTCGATATATCGCATAATCAAAATCTATTTATATATACATATGTATATGGAAGAAACAGCGCAACAGGTGGTTAAAAACAAGTTCTCAAAAGTCAACGCAATTCTTCAGCGACTTGAAACTAGCGCTTTTCTGTACTAAAATTAAATGGCCTACAAAACTGCATACTCGTAAATTCTCCTAAGCTTCTGTTGTGACCACCACATTATATTGTACACTACGCCAATATGGCATCACCGTTCATAAGTGACAGATCTGTGATAGGTTAAGATTATTTATATTCGTAAGGAAATAAAGAGACTAGTGAATATAAACCGCGTGCTGTTTTCTATAATTATCATAGACCAAAAGTCCAACCTCAACAAGTGGCGACGAGTAAAAAAGGTCAGCGATAAATTGCATTAAAAATGGATGCAAACCAGTTTCAGCAAATATTGGATGCCTTCAGTAAAGCACAGCGTGAATTACTTCAACAAGTCTGCACAAATACGACATCGCAGCAAACGCAACAACAAAATGTGCCGCCATTACAGGCGCTTCTCCCGCCATTCGAGAATTTCGACAGCAAAAAAGAAAGCTTCACATTTTATAGGCAGAGGTTCGAAAACTATTTAGCTATGAAAGGAGTTGTCACTAACAAAACATTGTGTCACCAAATGTTCATCAACTCTATCGGTTCGACACACTTCAAACTCTTGGTTTCGCTGATTGCTCCTAAAAAAATCTGCGAAGTCGAATATCAAGACTTAGTCAAGAAACTCGAAATACATCTATGCCCCAAGAAAAACACTCTTGTAAGTCAACATCGATTTTTATCCACATACCAGAGTGAGGAACAAACCATTGCTGAATATGTAGCAGTGCTTCGTCAAGTTACAAGTGACTGCGAATTTACATCAACTTGTGAATGCAAATCTGATATTTCAAATATATTTCTACCAGCACAATTTATTCGAGGACTCAGGGACAATACAATAAGAGAACAACTGTTGCAATCAGAATAAGTGGAATTTAACAAAATAGTGGGGAAAGCGGTGTCATTAGAAGCCTTAAAAATCGATAGCCGCGAACTCGACAACAAGCGCACCTATGGTGGCAATGATGTGAATAAAATTCGCTCCACATCTCCACATCACCATAGAAGTCGTTCAAGGAAAACAACATTGCCAAAGTCCGCTGCGCGCTCGAAATCAAAAATTAACTTCAACAAACTAGGAATTGACCACCTGTGCATCCGATGTGGAAGAGATAATCATAAAACAAATGATTGTCGCACCACGAAAAATTTAAAATGCAAGTCGTGTGGGAAGTCAGGCCACGTAAAGCAGGTATGCATAAAAACATTAATTAATGCCACAAACAATAAACCGGGTTCGAAGAGCGATGAATGTGATGACTCAATTCACCAAGTTTACGGTATAAATCAAATAATCGACATCCACTCCAACCAGCATTCCGGTAATGATATGGAAAAGTATTACGTAGACGTGGAAATAAACTGACACCGTCAAAAATTTGAGGTCGACTCAGGTGTTGGATTCGCGCTATTACCGCGAAATAAATTCAGACGTCTCGATATCAGTACTAAACTGCAGCCCTCAACTATCGCCTTTCGATCATACACTAAAAATATAGTAATTCCTGACGGTAAAATCAAAGTGTTAGTAAAATACAATAACCATTGTTCAGAAGAAGATATGTATGTTGTACCGGATGGCTATGATGCTCTGCTAGGCCGAACGTGGATAAGACATTTGAAGATTAATCTCCAACAAGTCGATAAACAGCGATGATTTCACTCCAATCGCGGAGATTATAAAGAAGTTCCAAGACGTATTTACCGAAAAAGTTGGGTATGTACCAAACTTTGAAGTAACTCTGCAGCTGCGGAAGAATGCTAAACCTGTATTTTTCAAAGAAAGAGAAGTTCCGTATGCACTCCGTGAACGGGTAGAAAAAGAATTACAAGAACTAGAAACCTGCGGAATAATTTNGTATTTTTCAAAGAAAGAGAAGTTCCGTATGCACTCCGTGAACGGGTAGAAAAAGAATTACAAGAACTAGAAACCTGCGGAATAATTTCTCAGTGCGAAAGAAGTGATTGGGGGTCTCCTCTAGTCATCGTTCCCAAACCAGACGGGGGGGTAAGACTCTGTGTCGATTACAAAATAGGAGTCAACCCACAATTAGTATCTTTAAACTATCCAATACGCCGAATCGACGAAATACTACATACCCTTAAAGGATCGAAATATTTTTGTCGACTTGATC